AATGGATTTGATGAAATGGAAATAATGGATTAATCTATTGTAAATTAATTATTAATTGTAATTTAATTTAAAGTGATGTTAGTAAATCCAGATACAAATATTAATTATGATATTGAATCGCAATTTTTATAACAATCAGATGATATTTTAATTTTTTATTCTTATAACAAATTTTCATAAATGACATTTTCAATTTTTATAAAAGGAACAGCTAATAATGATATGAAACGATAATTTTAAGTATTTCTTAAAAAGATATTTTAAATAATTAAACTATAACAGTTAATATTTATAAGAAAATACTATTATTAACATGAAATAATATTATCTTCAAAATAAAGATTTGTTAATAAAAAGCTTACTTAAGTTGTTGACTACTTTTATTTTGTAACAAATAAAGAAAAATTTTATATAATATTTTCTAGAATCTTAATATTATTCATCTATATTGTTGATTCTAAGAGAATTGATGAGATCTATAACATAAATTAAAATGATTTAAATTGATTTTACTTCATTAAAATATTCTAACAATAAAAATCATAATTAAAAATGATGAATTTTGAATTAACCATCAAATTTTCATATATTGAAATATTATTGATAGTTAAACTACTTTATTCTATGCTATATATTAGATTTGAATTTTTAAATAATGAGTTTGTTATAATAATTTTATTAATATTAATTTTAGATAATTGATTGAAATGCATAATTGATGAATTATAAAATTAACAAGAATCAATAGTAAAATTACTTATGTATATGTTTCTTCTTGCCTTTTAAAATAAAAATAAAGTAGTATTTGTGAATACACAATTCTAAATTCTAAAATTATTAATAATTATAGTTTCACCTAAATCGTCACATAAAAATTAAAAAATAACTTAATTTTCAAAGTTTAAATCAAAAATATATATATTTTATAAATTTACATTAAGGAAACTTTCTCCTTGAATAGACATTATGATTGGAGAATTTTTTTTAGAGTAAAATTATGAATCATATATCTTTAAATCAACTAATTAACCTAGTGCCCCAAATATCAAAATCAGCTCAGCTTATATTTGAAAATTAAGCTCATTTAGTATGATTGAATCAAATTTTTAGATCAACAATTTATAATTTGTCTTTAAATAAATAGGATTTGGTGTACCTTAAATTCTTAATCTTCTATATTAAATAGAAAATATATTTTCTTTATAAGAATTATCAATAAAGTATTCATGATTGTAAAACACACAATATGACTATAAATGAAGTATAAGAGTAAATTATTTGAGTCCAATTTCATTGAAATATTGATAATTATACAATTCATCTTAATAAAGAAGAATTGAATTCAATTAATTGCAGTCAATTTCATGCTAAATTAAAATATTATATGATACAATATCTAATTCAAAATTGTAGTTACAATTATTTTCATAACAAAATTATGCAATTTATAAGTTTGGATCAATATGAACAAATTAAGAAGGAATTTTCTGGTTGCATCTAAACGTATACATCAAATTTTCAGAAGTTATTATAAAATATGGATTTATTGACTATTTTAATTAGGATAATATACATTTATTTCCTCCTTTGATCTCTCTTAACAAACTTAACATAAAGAAGGACATTGAATACATTTTCCATTAATTTGAACTCTTGTTGGTTCTTTGAAGTAATTTAATTTACACTTAGAACAATAAAACTCTCTTTAGTTGATATCAGATTCACAAATAGAACACATCTCATCACAATACTTTTTACATAAATTCATTATCATATTATAGCCTTATATGCATTAAGTTACTAATAATTTTGGTCTATATAAAAAATTAGTAAAAATAGGTCTATTAGGTAAATATTAAATTATAAATCCTTAAACTATCCATTTCCAAGGTTCTAAATTAGTGTCTTCAAAACATTATATTGAGTTAGGAATTAAACATTTTATACAAATCCCTGTATTGGCTGATACCAAATAACCATCTTCACAAATTAAGCATTTTATAGTTTATTATAAAGTTTATATGCAATGTTTGCAATTTAAAATGTGGATTTGGCAATTTATAATCTCTAAAGCAATACTGAAATCATTAATATCAGATAATGTACAAATTTCATTTTCATCTAAATTAATATAAGATCTCAAACAATTTTATTAAGTTTAACTCTTATAAATACATTGACCAGAGCTGAATTAAAAAATGAATCCTTCTTTACATTAAGCACAACCTACTTTGATCTCTTCATCAATTAGAGAATAGCTTTCATAAAATCCCAGAGTAGTTTTTGTAGGATCACTTGCTAAATAATTGAAACAATATAAACAATGGTGTAATTCACAAATAACACATTTTTGATAAAAATCTATAAAATTAGGAGATTTGCAAGTTTCTTTATTTTATCCCAATGAGAGATAAATAGTAGGTTGATAATTTAAACAAATAAATTGTGTAACTAAAATTTAACATTCTAAACACTCAACTCCACATTAATAACAATTATTCTGTATTGATTGACATAATTATTTAAATTAAAATAATTATTCTATTTAATCAACTTAATTATTAGATGAACTTATTGAATTACAATCAGGACAGTATTATATATCATCTCCTACTAAAATATAATATAATTTATTATCTGCTTAAAAATATTTTGATGTGTTTCCGTTCTTATCTGTATATAATATTGTTTAACAAAAAAGAGTCTAAAACCATAAACTAGGATTTTATACACATTCCAGACATGTAATAAAATTTTTATTAATTATAGATGGACTAATATATATTATATAATAATACCATTTATAGCATTCATCATTGAATTAAAAAAAACCATATTGGCATACTTTTTTTAATTCTTATTCTTAAACTAAATTAAGATTCAAATTTTAATAATTAATACATTCATTATTTGAATCAATTGTTCCATATTAACAGATGCATTCTTTAAAATCTGGTAAATATCTTCTATTTGATAATTCAAAACATGATAAACAATCTTCTTTAGTTGGACCATCACATTCTTTACAAGTAGGATGGCAATTTATATTTGGTTGATTAATATCTGGACAATTAAAAAATTTAAAACCTATTATTTATATAATTAAATAATCTGATTTAGACTTTAAAATATTTCCATAAAGTAATTTAAATTATACCATATTAAAATGATTAACTAAAATATTTAAATTGAATTATTCTTGATCAAAACCTTAATAAAATGTTATTGAAATAGAAATAGAAGTCTCTGTCTTTTCTATTAATATATAATGCCATAATTAAATATCACAATTTATATCAAATTTTTATGTCTTTAAAAAAGGATTTTTTGAAAAATCAATATTAACAGTTGGGAAAGTATAACTATATGATTTTATGATAATTTAGTTCCCTAAAGATGAAATCTTATATAATAATTAAAATGCACTCAAATTATCTTATGTCAATTATGAATTTAAAAAATTTCCTGACAGTTTAAATAATTAATAATAAAATTCATCTGAATATGAATTAATTTCTCTAATTTTAATCCACCCTGATAATAAAAACTTATCACAATTAAGTTATTAAGATACAAATTAAAATTGATCTTATTATTATATAATAACATCTTCAATTTCTGTTTTAGCACTATTTAAGCAATAACATTAATTTTCATTATCTTCTTCAATAATCTCTAAGAAATATTCAGGTTAATCCGTGAAAAAATCAAGAAGATAATCCATTTATCCTGGAAAGAATGAAAGTAATCTATTTTCATATGTATAAAGTGGTGAATTTTAACTTACTTTGAAATGTCCTCCGATTATTAAATTATAATTAGTTCCTTCTAAAGGAAAATGAATTTAGATTTATTTTGAAAAAATCTAAGACATTTACTCATATAAATAAATAGAGACTTGTTTTTATGATGGAATTGTTATGAATCCTTAAAAATACCATGTAAATTCATACAATGCTTCATTTATTGATATTTCTTATTAAAAATAGCTGCCATCACTACCTAAAAATTAAAAATATTTCTTGATTGTTTTCTATTCAAAATTGACACATTCATATTATAAAAAATGCAATTCATTATTTATCCTATCCTAAATTCTATACAAATGAAAACAACTACTATCAAGTATTCCAATTTCACCAATTTATACAACATTACTTAATGGTACATATCTACTCCAAACTCCGAAACCAGCACAATTGATATCAGTATCCATTTAATTTTCTATTGGTTCAATTATAAGTGGATAAATTGATGGTAAACTTAAAATGCTCTAGGATACTGAATACTAAACAGCTATCATTGCTATTAAATAACATGAATATATTCTCATTTCTATAAAAATTGTAAATAAATTATGATGAATAATTATTAGATTTAAATATGAATATAAATCTAATTCCTAATAAAAATCATAACATTAATGTATAAAAGATTAATTATCAAATGATAGAAACTAATTAAAATGAGTTTAATTTAAGAGCAGTATTGAATTTTATCCTTTATAAATTATTAATATAATTATCAATTTTTATTGAGACAATTTAAAATTCAATATAATATAATATTATCAATATTTTCCTAAGTTTAGCTTAAATAAATATAATAAACAACTAAAATATGAAAATTGTGTTTTTCTTTATGTTCTTGAGTGATTTATAAGTGTAATTAATTTACTATAAAATTATGTAATATAATTAAATTAAGTATTAGACATATTTAATAAAATTTATAATTTAATTTTAATAGTTCAATAAAGATTTATCTATTTTATTTATACTATTTTAGACAGCATTATTTATTGGGCATTCATTATCTATCAATCATAAGATTCAATAATATCTATAACTTATTGATTAACATGATAAACTTATATTAATACTAGGTAGATTTACATGAGAAGATATTAGAAATATTCAAATTGCAGATATAATTGCAAGTCCTTCGTTCATAATTTTTATAAAATCTAAAAAGAATGACAAACTTTTTAATATGCTGGTATGATTGTGCAATTATTTTTTTAATTCTTTCCAATTTACATTCATCTATAAATAATCAATTTATAACTAAAGGTTAGTTTTATTACTGAAAATTCATTTATTGGGATTACAGGTGATTAAGGAATAAATATGATATATTTATTTGAATTAATTGAAGGTATATATTAAGAGATCTAACATAAGTCAATTCAATTAATGAATAATGATTAGGATTATGATGAATATTTCTTTCCTATCATATATAATAAATAGAGGAACTTGATATTTGTAAGACATAAATCATAAATTTATTTAATTAAAAATATTAATGATGGAAACTTTAAAATAGTTGATTAATTGAATTGTAATACATTAGATATTTATGGGACAATAACAGATAATGGACAATATTTTGTTTTTTGGGATATTAAAATTAATGGATATTCAATTTATGAATTATAAATTTAATGAAAATAGTCTAATTTTTATTCATATTGAAATCTATATATTCCCAATCACCCAACGCAATTATGAAAAAATAAATACTTTAATAAGTTTTTATGGCTCTTTTTATTTTTACTTATAAAATTATGTATTAATAATAATATTTACTTCTTTAATTATCTGAATCTAAGAATATAGAATTAAGCGTCACATATCGATGTTATTTTAATTTGATTACTTTTTGAATTAGAGAAATATTGTAGTTCTTATAGATTTTATTAAAATATCCATTTAAATTCATTAAAAAGAGTACCATTCAATTTAGTTGGATTCTAAATATATGATAACATAAACTAGAAATAGGAAATAAAATAAACGTGACTGTATTTCAAGTTCTTTATTATAAATAAATCCATTTGGCTAATCCAATAATAGTGATGCTTATATTAGCAGTTTTAATTTATTTTTAAAGAGATAAGTCAGTAAGTTTTAAATTATAGCCTCTTTTATTTAAAAATTGAAATTAACTCTAACTATTTTATGTAAGTGATTTATAAAAGGGATTCAGTATTTTTCTAAGCAATAAAAGTGCAATCATAATTAAAATTATTTAATTTTTTGTTTACACCTCTGTTCATCTTTAAATATCTATCCCATTTATAAATATAAAAAATTATCCTGATTATTGGTTATTTTTGGTATTTAAAATATTTTTCACAAATTTTGTTGCTATGAATTTCATATGAGTATCTTTCATCCACAAATCTTTTTCTTCTTAACATTAATTTATTGAATTTCTACCTGTATATTATAAATTTGTCTTTAAATACCTTCATTTTTTTCTTAGATCCGCTCTAATGTTACAGAATCAATTTAGAATTGACTAGAACTATATTTATTTATAATGAATTAATCGGATAATATTTTGATTGATTACTATTTTTGTGATTGTTTTGTGATTATTATTAATTAATTCCTTGGAGTTTAAATAATAAATAGATCATGATCATATCTTTTTTGCCAGATATTTTTCTTTCTATGAATATACTAATCTTGATTTCTCCATTATTATTTATTCTATAAATATTTTTACAGCACCTGCTTTATTAAATACTAGATTTATATATTATAAATATTGTTTTTGAAATCTTTTATGATTCATTTAGAATTCAGAAATAAAATTGATAGAAGTTTTGTTTTAATTACAAAAATTAGATTTTTATTGTTAAATATATTGGAATTTTTATTATTATAATGATTATATTTTTTAACTTGGATTTTGTTCAAAGAACATTGAGTTAACATTTTATTGAAATTCTTATTTTTATGGAGTGATTACATTGTAAATGTTTAAATACTTACATTTCATTTTGTGTTTAGAATAAGGTTTTTAAATAAAACTCTGGGGCAAATTTAATCATTTTATCTACTTTACAATTTAATAATATGTAAATTATATATAATATTTATATAAAATGATAATATCTCATTTTTATTCAAAATTATTTTATTAATAATTCTAATGGTTCTATATTATAATTTTATGCATCTAAATCGATAGATTCTACAGGTTTAATTTATAATCTATTTGATTCTTTTTTGCTTAGAATTTGATTTTCATCTAATTTTCCACCCATTTAATGACTTTAGACTAATACCATATCTCCAAAATTTTGCTAAAGTATAAATTAAATTCTTGATATTTCATATAGTATATTATTAAGTTTGCATTTTTCTTTTGCTTTTTTCCTTAAAATGGAATAATTTTCTAATAAATTTTCAATTGATGAATTATTTATATTATTATTTTAATTGGAGAATTTAAATTGATTGAAAAAGTTAAGTTAAAATTCTTTGAATTCTGGATAATACATTTTTATAATTTCATTCAATAATTGATTTTCTAATAATTGAGAATTGTAATAAACTAAAATATGTTTCAAAATAAATATTAATTAAACTATAGATCCTATTTAAGCTAAAACTTAACCTAATTTTGGATGAGTAATCTCTTCTTTGATAGATATGTTGTCAATTCTTATTAGAAAGCATCCAAAACTATCAAAGTTATATGTAAAGTTTGACATTGAGTTAATTACTTTTTATGTAAATTAATTATCAATCACTTAATTTATGAATTCGTAATTATTAAGAAATGAAAAACGTTCATAACTATTAAAAATTATACCACTATCTATAATAGTTTCTTATTGTTTCAAAAGAATTTAAGTATATTGAGGTTTAATAGTATCAAAACTAGTATAATATAATTTATTGAAATTTTCAAGTTATTTAGTTTTATAATTAAATTGACTTAATTTAATATTCAAAAAGAAAAAACCATGATATTTGGATAAATAAGTATTAATTGTATTATCATCAGCGCAATAACTTCCATTAAATGCAAAAATACTTGAACATTTTGCCAAAACTAAAAAATACTATTTCTGTTTTTAAAATTTTTCATCATTTTATTCAAAAAGAGTATTTAATACTAAAGAGCCTTTATTCAATTAAATTAAATATGGTAATTCTTTGCTACTAAATAAAGGTATAGGTTCATCATATATAGTTACATCTTAATAAGTAAATAAAAGAGGAGTAATTATATTATTTTCCTTTTAAAAAGGATCAACATCTCCTGAAAAATCTTATAATTAAATTNAATATCTCATTTTTATTCAAAATTATTTTATTAATAATTCTAATGGTTCTATATTATAATTTTATGCATCTAAATCGATAGATTCTACAGGTTTAATTTATAATCTATTTGATTCTTTTTTGCTTAGAATTTGATTTTCATCTAATTTTCCACCCATTTAATGACTTTAGACTAATACCATATCTCCAAAATTTTGCTAAAGTATAAATTAAATTCTTGATATTTCATATAGTATATTATTAAGTTTGCATTTTTCTTTTGCTTTTTTCCTTAAAATGGAATAATTTTCTAATAAATTTTCAATTGATGAATTATTTATATTATTATTTTAATTGGAGAATTTAAATTGATTGAAAAAGTTAAGTTAAAATTCTTTGAATTCTGGATAATACATTTTTATAATTTCATTCAATAATTGATTTTCTAATAATTGAGAATTGTAATAAACTAAAATATGTTTCAAAATAAATATTAATTAAACTATAGATCCTATTTAAGCTAAAACTTAACCTAATTTTGGATGAGTAATCTCTTCTTTGATAGATATGTTGTCAATTCTTATTAGAAAGCATCCAAAACTATCAAAGTTATATGTAAAGTTTGACATTGAGTTAATTACTTTTTATGTAAATTAATTATCAATCACTTAATTTATGAATTCGTAATTATTAAGAAATGAAAAACGTTCATAACTATTAAAAATTATACCACTATCTATAATAGTTTCTTATTGTTTCAAAAGAATTTAAGTATATTGAGGTTTAATAGTATCAAAACTAGTATAATATAATTTATTGAAATTTTCAAGTTATTTAGTTTTATAATTAAATTGACTTAATTTAATATTCAAAAAGAAAAAACCATGATATTTGGATAAATAAGTATTAATTGTATTATCATCAGCGCAATAACTTCCATTAAATGCAAAAATACTTGAACATTTTGCCAAAACTAAAAAATACTATTTCTGTTTTTAAAATTTTTCATCATTTTATTCAAAAAGAGTATTTAATACTAAAGAGCCTTTATTCAATTAAATTAAATATGGTAATTCTTTGCTACTAAATAAAGGTATAGGTTCATCATATATAGTTACATCTTAATAAGTAAATAAAAGAGGAGTAATTATATTATTTTCCTTTTAAAAAGGATCAACATCTCCTGAAAAATCTTATAATTAAATTTATATAGTTGAATCCTCTAATTAAAATTCAGAATAACCAATTAGTTATTACTTAGAATTGATATTAGGACTGATTTAATAATTCATCCATAAAATCATAACATATAAAAAATAAATTAGGCTGATGCTACCCAGAGCAATGGTTGCTATTCCACCCAGTTTACTTTAAAATTAAGTATTGTTTTTATTAGTTAAAAGACAAATTGGAACACCAAAAACATCAATTTTTTCAATAGTATTCATGAAAATGTTCATAAATTCTGAAATAATTTATTAATGAAAATATCCAAAAAAAAAATTAAATATTGTTTCAATTTTTGGATAAAAGAAATATCAAATAATTCAGTTTTTGAAAAGTGTATTTTATATTAATATTATGTTTTCTTTTCTTGGTTCATTTTCATTATCTGAATTAAATTAGTGACATGAATGATGGCAGAAAAATATAAATAAGAAAAGTAATGTCATTGTTCAGGACTTTCATTTATATTAATTATTTAAAAATTTTCACAAATATTTAAAAGAAAAGTAATTCAGACCAATGAAGGTACAAATACACTAAGTAAGATTATTTTATTAATGTAATCAATATTGTTTTTCATTTAATTTTGAAAACTGAAGAATTATATAAAAAATATCATGAAACAAGTTAAAAAGTATTTCTAAATTATGAAAAATAGATATTTTACTTAATCCAANTTCAAAAGAATTTAAGTATATTGAGGTTTAATAGTATCAAAACTAGTATAATATAATTTATTGAAATTTTCAAGTTATTTAGTTTTATAATTAAATTGACTTAATTTAATATTCAAAAAGAAAAAACCATGATATTTGGATAAATAAGTATTAATTGTATTATCATCAGCGCAATAACTTCCATTAAATGCAAAAATACTTGAACATTTTGCCAAAACTAAAAAATACTATTTCTGTTTTTAAAATTTTTCATCATTTTATTCAAAAAGAGTATTTAATACTAAAGAGCCTTTATTCAATTAAATTAAATATGGTAATTCTTTGCTACTAAATAAAGGTATAGGTTCATCATATATAGTTACATCTTAATAAGTAAATAAAAGAGGAGTAATTATATTATTTTCCTTTTAAAAAGGATCAACATCTCCTGAAAAATCTTATAATTAAATTTATATAGTTGAATCCTCTAATTAAAATTCAGAATAACCAATTAGTTATTACTTAGAATTGATATTAGGACTGATTTAATAATTCATCCATAAAATCATAACATATAAAAAATAAATTAGGCTGATGCTACCCAGAGCAATGGTTGCTATTCCACCCAGTTTACTTTAAAATTAAGTATTGTTTTTATTAGTTAAAAGACAAATTGGAACACCAAAAACATCAATTTTTTCAATAGTATTCATGAAAATGTTCATAAATTCTGAAATAATTTATTAATGAAAATATCCAAAAAAAAATTAAATATTGTTGCAATTAATGGATAAAGGAAATATCAAATAATCCAGTTTTTGAAAAGTGTATTTTATATTAATATTATGTTTTCTTTTCTTGGTTCATTTTAATTATCTGAATTAAATTAGTCACATGAATGACGGCACAAGAATATAAATAAGAAAAGTAATGTCATTGTTCAGGACTTTCATTTGTATTAATTATTCAAAAATTTTCACAAATATTTAAAAGAGAAGGAATTCCGACCAATGAAGGTACAAATACACTAAGTAAGATTATTTTATTAATGTAATCAATATTGTTTTTCATTTAATTTTGAAAACTGAAGAATTATATAAAAAATATCATGAAACAAGTTAAAAAGTATTTCTAAATTATGAAAAATAGATATTTTACTTAATCCAAATTTTTAATTAATTAAAATTTATAAACTACAAAGTATACACACATTATTTTGTTCATATTGTGAACTACATAAGATTGATAATAAAAATTTGATTTAATTCTATTCTTCTTAATTATTAAAAGCAATTAATAATTAAGAAGAATTAAGATCTAACTAATTTGCAAAAATTTAATGGCTAATTGACTAGAGATGAATTTATGGAAAACAATTTTGTTTTTAATTGGATATATTATAAATTTTTAACGATAAATTATTAATTCTTAAAAATTTTAATTATAATCAATATTTGATATCTAGTATTGATTTGATTTTGACGGTAGAGTATTTCCAAATCATATCAGATAAGCAAATCATTTTGGCATCATTTTCTATAATATCTTCTTACAATTAATTTTCCATAGAGAATTAGTTTGAAAGATTTTATTGAACTGGAATTTATATAGTCTCTGAATTTATTGCTTGAATTATAGATGAAATATAAGAATAATTCTGAAATTAGTCTAAAATTTGAGATGAAGATGTTGTTTATAACATTGTTATAAATAAACTTTTAACATAGGAGTAATCTGGAATTTCGTCCTATTTTAGGGTATCTATGTGGGACATAAATTTCAAGAACTCTTAAGGAAATTTATCGTATAATGCTATTTTGTTAAATAGGGAGGTCTTCATCTCTCCAATGGATTTAATTTCTGAATTTGTAAACTCCGTAGAGATTAGTTAAGACCATGGCAATTTATCTAATTTAATATTCATAAATACAATTTCTTAAATAGACAAGCACATATAATAAACTTTCTAAATCATCTTTAAAACTTAAATACTCACCTTTATGAGATGCTCTACTTGCAAAGTTTAGAGAACCAATAAATAAGTTTTTTTAGTTTTTTAAATTTTCTAGAGATTGAGATAAGCCAAAATCTATTATTTAAATAAATCCAGGCTTTAGTAGTTAATCTATTGAAGTATTTTGTATCGTTTATAATAACATTATATTTTCTGGTTTAATATCCAGATGTAAAATTTTTTTATGATGAATTTTTTCTAAAGTCTCAATAATATTTAATCCAATAGCTAAAATTTATGATAAAGACAATTCTTAACATATTAAAACATCATGTAAATTACAATTTAACAGAGGCATTATAAGAAATGATCTAAATAATTTCATATTATTATACTTATTATCAGGTGTCATTCCATAGTTGATTATTTTTGGAATTCCTTCCATTTCATCTAATTCTTTAAGTACTTTAAATTCATTTTCAATTTGTCCTGACCTAGGACACTTTTCCATTTTTATTGCATATAACTATGAAGTTAGATTATGCTAAGCTTTAAACACTTAATGTGCTGAACCTTGACCAATCATTGACAGTACTTCATATTTAGAAGTTTGAAGATACATATTAAAACAATTTTAAATTATGGAATTTTTAAAGAACAAATTTCTCATCTAAATTAAAATAAAATGAAAGTGATTAATAAATATTATTGGATGCCTAAATTTTTATTTTAAATTTTTGGGCTCATTTGAGAATAGATGATTCTATATAATATATTAATTTTTCTTAATACACTCCTTAAAATCTAATAACAAGAAAGAAGTAAATTTTATCCTTTAATTTTTATATATATTTTTGTTTACATTTATAAAATTTAATTTAGAAATCATTATTAAGATAAGGAAACTTGACTTTATTTTGATATAAATAAATAGATTATTTAAGAATATATAACAATATTTTAATAAAAGATAATAGAGCAAGTTTCTTTATTAATGAATTAAATTTAATTCTTAGCATTCAAATATAAATAGTTTGCTAAAATAAAAGTTTGAATTCTATTTAAAAATCATGAAAATATTTTATTGATTTATTGATATTGAACTAAGAAAAAATATTTAATTAATTTAGTTTATTGTTTATTATTTACATCCTCATGTTTTAATATTTTATTTAACTAAGTGCTCTCTTTCAGTTAAATAGAGTATTTGTCTAATCTTAAAAGCTTAATCTATAAATGGGATGACAATTTTTTATTAAATACTAAATAATTATGATCAAAGTTAACAATAATTCACTATTCAATGTAAATTTTACTTTAATGAATAATTTATGATATTACTCCATCTCACTTTTTAAATTATCAAAAAGTTTCTTGTTATTAATAATATACTCTAGGATATATGAAATTTGAATGTAAATTAAGTGCTTGTTTTAGTATGAAAAAGTTTTAGATTATTCTTAATTATTAAATAAATTTCAAATTTGTTCTTTTTTTCTATCATAAATATCAATTCAAAATATCAAAAAATTAATTATACTAAAAAGCATAAACAAAATATAATTAAAGAAAATAATTCATAATTTAACAAAGATATTTGGATTTATTAGAAACCTTCAAAATTTTTTATTATTAATATTAGATTAGATCTAGAAAAATTATTTTTCATTTTGGAACATATAGTAGAGATAAATATAAAGATTGATAGAAATTCATAAATCACACAAAGTTCTTATTTTTTATAATTAGATTTAAAGTATACAATAATTTATGAAATACTGATTTTTACCTGTCTTAAAGTTATTTTAGTAATAAAATAAACTTTAATTTTATTATTATAATGAAATTAATATTAAAATTTTATTTTATTAATAACTCTCTATCTTTATTTTTAATAGAATAAATAGACTTTATATTTGGATTATTTCCTGAAAATAGAATAATAAAATGAATATGAAACCTAGAGTAGTTATGGTTGGAACAATAGGATGTGGTAAAACAACTTTACTCAACAAAATTTGTAATAAAATTCTAAAAACATATTCGGGAGGATCTCAAGATACTAAAGAACCAAATATAAGTCACAGCGCTTATGGGAAAGGATTTCTATTGTTAGATGCACCTGGATTTTGTGATTATTATACAAGACTAAATGATTGCATTGGAATACTAAAATCTATAACAGATGAACCTATAAACTAACTGCTTGTTGTAGTTGAATTTTATCCAGACACTGAAGAGTAATTGAAAAGGATTATAAATATTTTCAAAAGAATTAAGGATGTTATTACAGTAGTTATTAATTTTTTTTATCATTCTGATGATTAAAATGAAAATAGAGAAAAAATTATTAAATGGCTAAAGTAAATAGAAGTAGAATCAGTGATATTTAATTGTAAGAATACATCAGGAGAAGAGCTTTGCAATTAGATCGATAGAATAAATTCTAATTCAAAATAAGGAAGGATATTTGAGTTAAAATAAACAGAACTCTTTCGTAATTTTAATTTATTTAGTTAAAATTATGACATATTTGAAAATTTGATAGATGCACAATATTAACTTAGAGATTAGTTTGAAGGCATCGGGCGAATAGTTACAAAAGCAATTGAAGATTTTCCAATTACTCAATCAAAAATTTCAGAGTTTGCACATTAAATAATATTACATATCAAAGATCAAGCTGATAATTGTTTTTTTTAATTTAAACAAAAGAGGATCGATTTATTTGAAAATATATATGCAATTGTCAATATAAAGAATTATAAATTTTAGCAGACAATCGAATTAAGAAACATTTATCTCAATAAGTTTATCGTACCATTTATTATGCATTATAGAAAATGAAATAAGGTGGGTTTTTAGATGTTAATTTTATTAAACAATGTCCTTATTGTGGAGAAATTTGGATATAGCCAAATAAATTTGAGGGTTTAATATTTTGTGGATCATCAAAGTCTAAAGATATTTATCATCAATAAAAATTTTAAATAAAAATGTTAGGCTGCGGTAAGTAATTGTAATGGAATGATTTGAAATCTTTACCATTATCCTTTTTGAATAATGAATCTAATATAGAATCTTTTAATTATTTATCTGCTGTTTTATCATAAGAGGAGGAAGATAAATATATTAAAGCAGCTAAGAAAATTGAAACTTTAATAAAAGAGAAAAAAATTATAATAATTTGATTTTGCTATCATTTTAATATATTATAATTAAAATATTTATTATTATTAATAATAATACAAGTTGATTTTAGGTTATTTAAACCAGACACCAGAATTCTTATAATTGATAAATTATTTTTGCCATTCCTTACTTTCTTCAGATCTTTTGAATTCAAAATTGCTAATAAATCATTAGAATAAATATAAATCTTATCTTTTCCAAGACTACAAATATTATTGATAAAACTTCAACTGTTTATGAAATTTCTAATCTAAGTATTTTTATATTAATGAAATTCATACAAATATATTTAATTTCACAAAACAGGTGATAGTTTTCAGAGTATTTCATTATTTGATAATTTTATATAAAAGCAAATCAAATATAATAAAGGATTTAATAAATATATCTTTATACTTTTTAGATATCTTTCGTTTAATAATCCCAATCAAGAATAGTTATAACCAATTATAATTTATTCATAATTTTTAAAAGTGAAACAACATTTAATCCCTTTTGAAAAATTATTTTATTATTAACATTATTAATTATTATGCAAGTTCTAACTAAAATAGAGGTTTAGGTTCTTAATACGAAGAATTTCTTTATTATTGTATAAAATTTTTATTTAAAAATAACTTTTAAAACATTGTTAATCATTTTTAAGCTTATTAAGAAATTTTAGTTGTAATTCCAAAAATACTGAAAGAGGAATCAGTGCGAGTTAATATTAGTAAAATTAAATAATTAAAAAAACCCATTTATATTTACTTATTTTTTTGAGGTTAATAATGTTATGCATAAAGGAGTAAACCTAAAAATTTATTTAATTAAAAATAAAGATGATTACCCAGGTTTAAGTTCTTTATTATGAAAGAGATTGTCAGATTATTATTCTAAATAAATTGGAATTGGAATCAATATTCTTCCTTCTACTAAAAATGGGACTGCGAAAGGTTGAATTTTATAATGCTACTTTTGCAACTTATTTAGATAATCAAGCCATCTCTAAATATTAAATAATGCTGCTTTAAGATTTGATGGATCTCTATTATCAAATATTTATGAATTTTAATGTAATCTACATCCTTTTTTTATTTTATATATTTATATCAGCATTAAAGAAATCTAATTTTTTAAAGTCAGGAAAGAATTAGCAAGACTAAAAAAGAATTATAAAATAAGATATTTTTGTAATAATTGATGAAGAAATAGAAAACAGCCAAATAAGTTAAAATAAAGTATAAATTATAAAATTACAGTGTTATTGGTTATTAAATAATTCAATTTACATTTATATTCATTTTATCATCAATTAATCAAATTAGATAATTCGAGAATATCCTTTAAAAAATATAGAATTATAAATTTAATGAATAGTCTTAATGTTTTTTATTAGAATCTGATTAAACTACTAAAGCAAATATTAGTATAATAAATTTCAATTCAAATGATTCCTTTAAAAATTTTAAAGATGCTTAAAATAAGTTGATTGATTGATTATCTTAAAAAGGACTTAAAATAACCAATAGATTGAATTTTAAGACTTAAACGAAAGTCAGGCTAAAATGTAAATAAATAGGTAAAGTTTTGTTATAAGCTTAAAAAGTTATCAATGTAGTATTTATTAATTTAAAAATGAAAAATCTAATAGATATTAGAGTAAGATTGTAATGCTTATACAAAAATTCAGAAGTTAATAATAAAAGAGTAACAATAGAATAAACATCAACAACAAGAAAATTGTTGATTAGGATTTTTAGATTTGATGATGCACCTCAATAATTAAGGATAAGTGCGTAAAAATTTATAAAAAATATCATCTAGGGCTTTGTGTAAGATCTTTTGGTAAGATAGTCATTTTAAGTTAACTATTCTTTTTTTTGGCTAAATTATATAATATGTGAGCTAACATGAATAATTATTAAATATTCAATGAAAGCTTTATAAAAAGAACATCAATATAAATAGGAATAATAATTCGAAGAAAACCTAAGATCTGATAGTTATTTAATATTGCAAAAATCAATGTATTAATTAGGTTAAGTATGATTAATATTTTCCTTGAACAATTCGTGAAATAAATTATATTTCATGCAAATGATATCTAAGACTATTAGGATTTAAATATGTTATTTTTTTGATTTTATTTAATTATACTTTGATCATCATTTAATTAAGTAGCATAAACCAAAATTTAATCTTTTTAAATCAAGCCATTAAATCATAAATAATAGATTTTTATGTAAGAAATAATAATTAATATTATTAAAAGATTAAAATGAATTTTTGGATTTAAATCAAAGAGGATTATAAATTTATACAATGTAGAGAACAAGAAATTTTGGAAAATTAAGATAGACTTTTCCAATAAACTGGGAAAGTATTAGTTTTCAACTTAATCATCTTTAGATACGCCATGGTGGGGTTCAAGTTCCAGATACTTTATAGAAGAAGAGCTATTAAGAGTTTTATTAATAAATTGTGTAAAATTATACAATTTGATTAAGAATTATAAGAGGAGGTTAGAGCTTTTTATTTTTTAATAGTAATCTTTTGGACAATATTATTTTGATAGATTAGGTGTGGAATTCTATTTTTATTTAATTTGTGTGAGATACTAATTATAAAATGTTCATAATCTTTAATAATAACCTAGTAGTTTATCAAATAAAAAATTTCACAAAAAATCGATGCTAAAATGAATAGAAGTTGTTCAGTGAGAATTGCCCATTCTAAACGCTGAAGTTGGAATCGAATTTCCTGTTCTCAGATACTGTAAATGGGGTAGTTCCTTAACTATGAACTCTTTGTATAGCTAGATCTTGATTGGAAACATCTAAGAAAAATTGTAAAATTTTTGCCTAATATCTTGGTCCTAATGTTTAAATGATGATTTTAAAATAAATCGATTTGATATAATATCCAATATTATTTTTATTAATATAGGTAGAATAGCTATTCATAAAGTACTATTTATTAATATTAATCTTAATATTAAAATTTAATATAATATAAGGTTGATTAATGTTTTATGTTTTGATAAATCACAATAAAGCTGGAGTTTAGATTGATAAAAGTGCGATAAAGGAACAGCTAAACTACAGCTAGAAGTAATTGCTTGAACCATAAGTTCAAAGCCTCCAATCAACAAATTAAAATCTCCTTTTAAGAAAATTCTAGAATAAGTATTAAATTGTTTAGATAGTCCGAAAAATTTCTTCAAATCTTTCATAATCCTCAGGTCTAAACCAATTGGGCATTGTCATCACGGCGCCATTGCTTCATGAATCTAGGTTAACTGAGTTTTATCGAAAAAAGAAGGTCCAGAACTTTGGATTCTTATCTCCCTATTCTCATCATGCCGTATTGTTCATCTATCTTACTCATAACTACTTCTCTGATATCAAACTTAGTAGACTCAAGGATCATACTTCCTGTTATGATTTACACAAAAATCTACCACAAAAGCAAATATTTTGACCTTGGCAAAGAATTGGTAATCACATTCAATCAGTAGATCAGTAACCTAAGGTGTGGGCTTGATGTTTTAGGCTCACCCAATTAGTATTTAGGAGAAATCGATTCCATCTTTCCAAATAATTATCATGTGGCCAATGCTAAATTTTTTAATTTAACTTTTAGATTGATTAAATATCATAATCATTCTCAAGTTTAAATAATGATTAGATTATTTAAATTATCATTTATTCGAAGAGATCAATTTGTATTATNTTGTTCAGTGAGAATTGCCCATTCTAAACGCTGAAGTTGGAATCGAATTTCCTGTTCTCAGATACTGTAAATGGGGTAGTTCCTTAACTATGAACTCTTTGTATAGCTAGATCTTGATTGGAAACATCTAAGAAAAATTGTAAAATTTTTGCCTAATATCTTGGTCCTAATGTTTAAATGATGATTTTAAAATAAATCGATTTGATATAATATCCAATATTATTTTTATTAATATAGGTAGAATAGCTATTCATAAAGTACTATTTATTAATATTAATCTTAATATTAAAATTTAATATAATATAAGGTTGATTAATGTTTTATGTTTTGATAAATCACAATAAAGCTGGAGTTTAGATTGATAAAAGTGCGATAAAGGAACAGCTAAACTACAGCTAGAAGTAATTGCTTGAACCATAAGTTCAAAGCCTCCAATCAACAAATTAAAATCTCCTTTTAAGAAAATTCTAGAATAAGTATTAAATTGTTTAGATAGTCCGAAAAATTTCTTCAAATCTTTCATAATCCTCAGGTCTAAACCAATTGGGCATTGTCATCACGGCGCCATTGCTTCATGAATCTAGGTTAACTGAGTTTTATCGAAAAAAGAAGGTCCAGAACTTTGGATTCTTATCTCCCTATTCTCATCATGCCGTATTGTTCATCTATCTTACTCATAACTACTTCTCTGATATCAAACTTAGTAGACTCAAGGATCATACTTCCTGTTATGATTTACACAAAAATCTACCACAAAAGCAAATATTTTGACCTTGGCAAAGAATTGGTAATCACATTCAATCAGTAGATCAGTAACCTAAGGTGTGGGCTTGATGTTTTAGGCTCACCCAATTAGTATTTAGGAGAAATCGATTCCATCTTTCCAAATAATTATCATGTGGCCAATGCTAAATTTTTTAATTTAACTTTTAGATTGATTAAATATCATAATCATTCTCAAGTTTAAATAATGATTAGATTATTTAAATTATCATTTATTCGAAGAGATCAATTTGTATTAAATATGCGTCCTTAATCACATGCTCCTTATTATTTTTATATGGGCTAATTTTTTGACTAAGTGTTCATTACCTGTTGATGTTGGATTTAAATATTAAATATGATTTTTAGAATTATAAATTGATCTTGTTCCTCAAAGATTATTTAGGTAGGTAAATGTGATGCGTATCTAATCAAATAAGAAAGCATAATTAAAATATATTTGAATAGTTGAATAAATAGTAAACTAATAAAAATTATTGATGAAAATATTAAAAATGCTTTAAAATATGCCAATTTAAATAATCATAATTCAGAAAGATATATGTATTTTGCATTTATAGATTCAAAGATGATCACCAAAAGAAAAGTAGTATGATGAATAACTTGTTGTTAAATTTATTAATTTGAGTTATTTTCTTTAAATTAAAAACACTTAAGTATTATAGCTTATGATAATATCAATGAAATTTAGATGAGAGAATTAAACATTTTACTAAAGATTAATACTTTTGGATTAGGTAGTGATATTATTTTCTTTTTGAAATTTGTTGCTGAAATACAAACATACACACAGTATAACATAAATGAAACCTAATTGAATAATGAATGAGTAAATTTTAATATATTGGTTATTTTTTGAATATCAGGGTAATAAGTAAAGTATTGATTCTAATTTTGAAAGAGTTTAATTAAAATTCCTTATAACATTAAATGTGTAATTTTAATGAATAATAACTAAGGTAAAAAATAAAACAAAGCCAAATATTTAAAAGGAAAAATTCAATGCAATTTAAAGTAAAAAGTAATTGAAAATTATAGTATCTTATAAAATCAAAACAAATTATGGATAGCTTCTATACTAATTGTTTATTTAAACATCAAAATAATCAATATGCTTCATTAATATCAGATGATGGTTTCAGAGAGGAAAGCTGTACAGGAATCTTAAAGCATGTAGGTATTAATATAATAAATCGCTGAAAAAGTTCAATAAAAAAATTCGAATATTAAAAAAAAAGATAAATTATTGGCACATAACATGAAAGATTTCTATTTAATATTTCTTTTTTCATAGAAAAGGATGGATGGATTTTACTGGAGGGTTATCTAGCTATTTATGTGCCTGAAAACCTTCAAATATGTTTTTAAGGATCCTTATGATTTATGGAAATAGAGAGCAGTAAATTGAATACATTAACTGGTCAAAAATCAAATTAGACAAGTGATTTCAATTAAACAATTAATTAATCCAAAAATATTGAATTTCGCTTTATTATCTAAGCTTGACCATTGTCATAGTCAGAGCGAAGTAAGAGAGTGAAGAGCAATTCTATCATTTAAAGAAATGTATCACTTGTTAAAAAGTATTATTGTCCCTTTTATAAATCCTGAGTTATCATTTTTCTGATAAGTTTATGATATTAATTAACAAATTCAATTTTAATGTATGAAATTAAAAATTCATGATGATATATCTTTAATTTTCACTTTAGAATTACTAATATAAACACATGGAAATAAATCTTAAGATATATCTATCTCTTTGATCTATATAAATATATATATATAATAATATTTACTAAAATATCTTATGAATTGTATTTAGTCCATTTTATATATTTATATTCTACATTCACTTCCATTATTATTATATAATTAACTTAAAATTTAAATGCTTTTCCTTGAGTAGTATTATTTGAATGATGGAAATATGTACCACCTTATTCTTTTAATAGGTATGATCTAGATTATAATTAATTATATTTAATACCCTTTACCTTAACCATCACCTTGATATCCATTTTATTTAATCATTTCTCTAAATCCTATTCCAATTTCACACCACGAACTAATTCTAAGTATTTCGATTTCAAAGTGTATTATACCAATTTTAGGAATCACTTTTTCACACATACAATAGCCTTCAGTATTAATATCAATATCAACAATCTTTCCATTATCACTTATCACAATATCATTATGTTTATAATTATTTGAAAATGTTTAGCCTTTTTAAAATTATAAATTCTTAGATAATTTGATTAAAAATTCATACTTTTTCTAATTCCATTTTATCTATTTCTAACTTCTTATTAATTTTATTAAGTTTTGTTTATACGGTTTTCAATTCTGAATCTTTTTACACCATTTTTTGATTAAATGATTCTTATAATTTATTTTCTATTCAATATTGTAAAAATTTAATACATTAATCTTATTGTTCCTTCAATAAATTGATATTATCTTATTAAAATTATTTCTTCAGATTAATATTATCTTAATTTACTTGATCTAATTATTTTTTAAGATTTTAATATTCTTTTTCCATCATCTCTAATTTCTTATTTAAATCAGTTATTTTTTCTTCAAATTCCTTTTTTTATAAATTTAGTTATTTTGTATCTATGAAATAAATAATAAGATTACTTTCTAATTCTAAATTAAAATTTTTTCTTTATAATTAATTAAATCATTCTCCAATTAATAAATATTACAAAACTTCTTCAATTATTTACTATTATTCTCAAAGGTATTCTCATAATCATTAATTATATTTTATAAATTTTAATATTAAGACTTGATTAATTATTCTGATTTATTAGTCTAATCTGTTGTTTTAGATTAAATATTTGATTTAATTTATTTTATTATCTAAAAATGTTTCTAATATAGTTAAATAGTCTAATCAAATAAATTGAATTAACTTTAATATTTTTTTGCCTAATCAATCATAAGTTCTATTTCCTATATTAAATTAATATAATCTTTATAATTTTCATCCTTTTGTACAGATTTCTATATTTATGAAATCGTATCAGATAATTATATTATAAAATTTCTTTCAACTATTTAAAAATCTAAATAAATGTATTACTTGAGATGCCTCTAAAAATATCTAATGATTATTAGATATCTTATTAATCATATTGTTTTAACAATTCGAGATGATTCTCAATCTCTTTCTTGAAAATTTAATCTTTACTTTTTACATTTGTTGCTGCTTAATTTGATGTTACATTTTCCTTTTCTACCAATTACTTTAATCTTTCAGTAATTATTAATCATCTAATGCTTAAATTGAATTTTTTTTTATCTAATTAGATTCTTTTGTCTTATCAATACATAAGTATTAATCTGTAAATAATTTGTCGTAAATTTCATTTAATTTTTAATTATAATTCTTTCTCATCTAACCTATTTAATTAAATAATTCAGCCTTTTTTTCTTTACTCTCCTTCTTATACTCTTTTAAAATCCTTTCAGATTCTGAACTGTATTCCTTCCATTATTTATTTACATTTTCTATAGTTGAATATTTGATTAATGGATTTTCAGAAATACAATCTATGCATGCAAGTCTTTTTTCAATTTCCTTTTCTTATGTATCCATATCAATCATGATAATTTCCTTTTTATGATGACTGGATATTCTACTTAAACTTGGAGTTTTCTATTTATATTTAAATTATAAATACTGATTCATTTTAAGTCATTAATAATGGAAGTAATTCAATTACATTAATTTCCATAATATCCTTTATTTTTTCTATTGTATTTTTAAAAGTATCTAAAGTCTATGTGTATTCAGAATTATTAAATAATTATTCAAATTAATTTTAGATTTCATTAATGAAATTATTATCTTCTAATAATTATGATGATTTTATTCGTCCTAAGTATATAATTCTAATAATTATTTAATATCTTCAAAGCAATTATACTACTATTCATAATTTTGTATTTCTAATTTTTCTTTTTAAATAGGAATAGTATACCTGTTTATACATTTTTTCCAATGAATCATTTATAGATTATTTGAAATCCATAATTTAATCTAAAATATTCTTATAATAATTGAGCCTAGCTTAATTCTCTTTAGTTTTAATGTCTAATTATTAAGCTTTAGATTCTTTTCTTAGATTATTCTATAGTTGTCACTTTATTATTTTTCATTTTTTCAAATAAGCATTAACAAAAATAGAATTAAATCTGTGCTTTATCTGATAAGTCCAAATCAACTGCAATAAGTTCTAAATTGTCAATTTTGCATATAGTTTCTTAATTTTTTTGGGTTTATTTTTATTAGAGGGTATTCATTTTGATTATTTTAATGATTAATGAAATTTATAAGAATTATCACTCTAAAATGTTAAAATATATGAAATTACATTTTAATTCTATCATAAAATAAAAATATATCTGATATATATTCAAGTTCATCATAAATATTAATCAAACTTTCGTTATTATAAATAAATCACTCTATTTATATTATCCGTATTCCCTTGATAAATCAATATTTTAGAATTTCCTTGATTCTCACTCTTTTAAACCTTTATAATTTCGTGAATGTCAATTAGACATTACATAGAGAAATTATTTAATTAAAAAAATAAGAAATAAAATTCTATTTTATTCTTTTAATGATAATATCCTAATAAAAATCTTCAATAATGAATTTATATTAAAAGGAGATTATTTACTCCTATATCTATAAAGGGCTCGTTTAGAATGGCTGGCTTTTCTAAGAAATTTCAAATTTTCTCTTCTTTATAATCAAAATGAAGTTTCTCTTCTATGGTTAACCCTAAAATTATTATTTTCTATAATTATTTTTATCTTATATCCAACTTTATTCAGTAAATCTTCAAATGATAAACTAAAATATATAATTAAACAGAATTATTAGTGTTATCATAGAAACTTATTTTTAAATAATTTGAGATTATACGGAAAATATATTATATTTTACAAATTATCATAACATTTAGAAATAATTATTTGTAATGTTTCGGTGTTTTAAACTGTTAGTTAATTGCTTAGCCATTTTAATTATTTTTCAACATTTATATACTATTTAATAATTTAATTCATTTTTACTAGTAGGGATATTTCAAACTGCAAAGTTCAAATTGAAAATAATTATAATTTATATTAATAAATTAAATTGATAGTTTATTAATTATCAACTAGCTGATAAAATGTAACATATCTAATTCTTAAGGTCACAATGAATTAATTTGTTATTTGTGGTAAATTGCTAAAATGAACTTAAATATCAACTTATGTATTATCAACCGAAAAAACATAATGAGAATTTCTATATTTACCAAAATTTAGAAAAATGATTTGCTCTCTTTTTTCAGACATTGAATTAGTTTTTCATTAATTATTTATAAACTTGTTATATCATTTCTTAAAGAGAATTATTAAACTTGATAAATAATTTAATCTCATAAAAGAAGTTTTGTAAATGGATTTTAAATACTCCATCTCTATAGTTATTAATCCATTTCATAAATTATTTGATCATACATAGATCATTCACTGTCAAATAGCAATTACAATATACTCTTTTTTAGATCATGAAAGAAAATTAAATAGAAAAGAAATAAAATTTTACAATCAACTAATATATATATTTACAATTTTTTAAAAACTTTTTATCATAATTAATAATTATGATAAAATAACAAAAATCATATCATAATACTCAGTTTTTGTAGAATATTTTTTTTTAATACAACAAAAAGATCTTTTAATAAAAATACTATTATTTATTTATTTATTCAATCTTCTTCTTCATTATCCTTAATATACTTTTCACTTTGAGCAATAGGAGTAACTCTTGAGGACTTTTATTTCTTAATTTCAAAAATTTCTGCCATCTAATCAACTCTTTTCTGTTTCCTATAGTTTTTAATAAGTTCAATAGATATACATTTTTTCCAAAACAAATGCAGTAATAGTGTTTCTAGATTAATGTAATGAGCTTTCTCGAACTGACTTTCTTATAAATTATTATCTTTCTTTAGCTTAGGCTGGGCTTCTTAGACTTAAAGGAATCGTATCTATATTTTGTTCCATGTTTCTCTCCATAGCAATTTACCACTAATAATTCTTAAAGGCTATAATTTCTTTTGCTTAGGGTATTAAAAATTGTTTTAATTTACTAAACAATTTGGCTACTCGAATACGTTACTCACTACGATCAGTTAAGATTTTTCTCATATATGGAATGTGATTGAGAAAGGGAAAGATATTTCTGATTGTATTCCTAAGTTTATCCATCTTCTCATCTAAATTGCTGCTCTTCTCTTTTAAGTATTCAGCTAAAATCTTAGATATTAAAGTATATGTGATATGCAAATTCAAAATCGAAATTACTATAGCATATGGAATTTGTATTTCTTATGAATTTGATTACTCTGAAACATATATACCTATAGCTAGTGCAATTGAAGCTAAACAGACATTTGTTGAATAATAATCTAATTTATTAAGATTATTTAGATTATATGGTTTATACTTCAAACTTAATTCCAAATACACTCCGATAATAAGTGAGATGATAGTTGCTTTAATAATGACACTGTCATCATAATATGTCAAGAAAATGATCATTAATTCTTTCTGTAATATTTTGATCACTTCCCAAAAGTAAGCTCTTTTTGTGTATTCATTATAAAGATAGCCCCATTATAATCTTACCTTTTTATCATCTAATAAATTAGAATTACTATAAAGACCATAAAAAAAATAGATTGGGATAAGGATTGCAAGAATCAAAAGCATAGGTAAACATAGTTCAAGCATCCATTTTTCATGATAAGGAGTATCAAATCTTTAAGAAACATTTGATTAAACCCATTTATAACCTGAGATTTCTCTATATGATATGAGTTGAACAAATCCTCCAATTAAACTTGGCTATAAATAGATGTACATATAAATGAGAGTAGTTGTAATGACACTTCTATTAAAAGTTATATGTTTAAATTTCACAGCAAGTAAATAACAAAATAAAAAGAAGGTTATATATAGAAATGGCATAATTATTTACCAAATCATTCTACCATATTATATTTCAAATGTAAAAACATGAGATAAGAAGCAATCCAATGAATAAGTCATAGTCTAAATTGGAGATCCAACTGCATTTATTGTACTTTGTAGTCCACTTGGAAGTTTTAATTAAAAAGTAGATATTGAAGAAATGATCTACAAATAATTTGTCAGCATTTTTATTAATATTGCCGATTGATTTGTATTTTAAGTAACTGCTAATCCTAACATCATAATACTAATTATTCTAACAACTTCTTCGATAGCTTTTAAAGTACTTTACACTGATACTAATATCGAAACTAAAGTCCTAACATAATATTTAATTAATTATACCATATACTCACGAATGTTATAATTATTGCATTTTTCTCCTTCTCTAAGCATGATCCACAAGAATATTTCTAACTAACTGAATATTGTCCATCTCCTCTTGTATCATATAAATCACATTATTCGCATAGTGCTCCAATATGTCCTAAAAAACAAGAATTATCACCTTCCTCCCAACCACCTAAACAATTTTCTTCCAAATTTAAACAATAACTCACTATATTGCTTTAAAAATATGGTCTCCAAAATCCAAATTTTAAATTTAATAAAGCTGATTATACACTTATAGTTGAAATATCATCTTTCAGCTCGCATTTTTCAGAATTTATGTTTAATGAGAAAAGACCTTAATCACTATTACATGGAACGCATGAAAAATCAGTATTATTTTTTATCTCACCATATTAACAACTCAAAGTCTTAATGTTTACTCTTAATTTGTAATTAGAATGAGTATTTATCAAATTAAATGGATATTATTCATTGTAAATAGGAATTAAAATTGAATCACATCTAAATTACAATTATAGAACAATTTCTGAAGGTAATGCATTATCAAAATAGACTATCAAATCATCTAAATTATAATCTTAAGTTTAATCATTAAACGTTATCTTATTTAGATTAGTAAGATTATTACTAAATATATCTTCTTATAGTGATTCTGATGTATTTAATATTCTACTATCAATTTCACAAAATGAATTCTTCAGATTTTTCATTACACTGTTATCTTTGCTCAAAGCAATCACTCTAAACTTATAACTGAAAGGAGTATATGATTTATTTTCTTTAGAAAATTCTTAATAAGAAGAAATCTTTTGACCACTAGGCAAGAAAAGATATTAGGTTTAAAGTATTTTACTAGATTATAATATGACTTATTAAATTAATAAATCTTAAGTTTCTTCAATTGTAATTGTTGAAAATAAAGAATTTTCATCAGTTAAAGTAACAGTTAATTTTTATGGTATTGACACTCTATCATTTCCAAAATAATCAGCCTTATTGTTTTCCAAAAAAGTTCCCAACTTAAAATAATCCATATCCTATTAATTAACCAAATATATTCCTCCTCCTATTTATGCTGAATTATGTTAAATTAAGCTATTTTTTATCAAGACATCCTAATTCATTTTAATTATTAAAGCACCTCCTTTTTCAGATGCATTATTGTATTGAAAAATTGAATTTTCTATTAAAATTTTAACATTTTCAGCGAATAAACAAGTTCCATTTTAAGCTCTATTGAACTGGCAAACATAGTTTTCTATATAAATTTCAAACTTCATGGATTACAATTAGATCTCTGAATTTGAAAGGAATCGACGTGAGTTTGCATTTTCTTTTGCTATCTAAATACAACCATTAAACCCACAAGAAGAATTTGTTACTTTAAGTTTAGAAATGTATTATTTCATTAAAAGATTTTAAACTTTCAAAAAAGATTAAAATATCAATCCATTCCTACAGAAAATGCAATTTATTTATGTAAATAATATGTTATCCAACTTAAATTAAGATAAATCTGTTAGTTCTTAAAATAACAGTAATCCAGATTAAGTATTTTCAATTATCAAATTACTTTGTTGTTCATTCTATTTAAGTATTTAAGATTAAATGCAATCTCCATAAGTAAAGTCTTAGTTGATATAATCTGAAAATAAGTTGAATGGTGCTTTAGTATTTTATGCATTAGAAATGCACTTAAAAAATACAGTGTAATCTTTAACAATTTATTACTGACAACTATAGCTCTTTAATTATAATGTAACAGTTATATTTGATATTATTAAACCATTTATCTGAATGGTATTTAAGAGATCTAATTAATAATATTTTATATACATTAATTTGGATGCAATTTGAAGAGTACATTACTAATGATACTATTTGATATTTTTAAATTCTGAATTGAT